TTCTATAGAGGATACGACACCAACCAACAGAAATGTCTCGTATAATTTCTTGCAATAATGAAAAAAAAAAAATAATCGTTATTTTCTTATTACGACTTTCGTTCAAGGTATATCTGTTCAAAGTATGTGTAAAAACTACATTATTTTACTATTTATTACACTATTACTAAAGTAGTTTTTGATTATTTTTTTTAATGTAGTGACTACAAACTGCTTCAAATACGGAGAGGGGAAGAGAAATTTGATCACGCTTCTCTAGCCATTTGTCTATTTCACTCACTCCGGACATTTGAAAGAGAGGTACCATACCATTTTTTAAACATGAAAAAAAAAAAATAATAATAAGCGTAGAGGTAAAAAAATTTAGATAATTGAAAAAAATAATTAAAAAGGATTTTTTTTTGTTTGTTTTTGTATTTGCATCATTCTTCTGACTGAATTTACTTATCATATACTAGGCAATTGCATAAACATCTTTCTTATGATAGGGTTCTGCAGTCCTTGCTTGTTATCACTCGCGACTCCCGTGATATATTTTCTTAACAATATTTTATACATGGACCGAACTGCCAGAAAATTCGATAGTATTCGCACAGTTAACTTATCAGCCCTATGGTATCGAGAAAAGTAATTGGGTAGAGGGGGTTAATGTGAACATTTTTTACAAATTTGTCAAAAAACCTTATTAAATATAATTTTTAACTGGTGAAGTAAGTATTTTTTTTAAAACTATAATTTAGAAGTTTTGTTGCATTTTTTTTTCCTAATATCCGGACTTAAAAAGTTGCTTAATATTTCCATAGAAAGTTTTTAGGGCCCAGTGTGGACAAGCTATAGGGCTGCATAGACAGTTGTTGTTGTCATTTATTTGATCTCAGAAATTTATCTAAGCCGCAATGAAATTTATTTTTCAATCTAAAGGTAAACATTATAACCAGAGAGACACCTGTCGCTTTTTTCGAACACCTACTGATCCAAAGGTGCAAAAAATATGGATTAGGAATGTAAGGTAAATTAATTACAACTTAATATAACTTCAAATTTTTTTTTGTTATTTTAATTGCATAATAGTAAAGAATTTTAATTTGCTTTATAGGAGAGATGATATTCAAATTTCGAAAAATCATGTGATATGCCAGTGCCATTTCAGAGATGGATTAAAAGAAAATGGGCCAACGCTTTTTGAGCACAATAAGGATAAGATTTTTAGATTTCCATCTTCTGAAAAAGCTTTAAAAAAAAAAAGGTATTTCAATATATTCTAACAGTTTTGTCGAAATGGTATATATATTATGTTTCTCCTCCTCAGTATATCTGATATGTCTTCCGCATTTAAAAGTATCATCTACAGAAATGTCTCCCACGATCAAATAACTAATCTTGACATCTAAGTAAAAAAGTATATGAAAATGAGCCCCCAAGACTGTTTTAGGTAATCCAACCAAGTCTTGCTCATCTCTAAGTTGCATCAGGATTTCAGACCTGATCTAGTTTTAATAAATAAAGAAGCCAGCATCGCGTTAGTACAGTAAATAAAAAAAAAAGCTTATTGCATCGAATAAAGGAAATTGAATTGCACTTTCCGTCAAGAAGTGTTATGAAATTTATTGCATAACAATTTTAACAACTTTTTCTACAAGTTTAGAGCTCAAAGAAAAATTTTAATTTTTATATTTTGAACATCTTTTTTCTAGAAAACTGTTTCTAGGAGATTCTATTTTGAGACACGCTATTGTATTAGTACTTTATAGAATAAAGATAGCTTTTATTTACCGTGTTTTTATTGTAATCTTACCGTCTTGTTTTAACACTTTATGGCTAAAAGATACCTTTTTTTTAAAATTATTACATTTATAACCCATTTATAAAAAAAGAAAAGAAAATACTATTAAATGGTAATTAGAAATGGCGTATGCTAACTTCTAGAGCGCCTGGCTATACAGAAGTAGTCAATTACGTGAAGGAGTAGAAAGTAGTTATGATTTTGATACATAATTTTATAATTTTTAAGCTTGCCCTTTGTATGCATGTACATTTTCTTTCTCTCATTCTGACTGGAGGATACTCTTGTATTCGGTTTGTTTATAAAATATTGACGACTTTGATTATAAGAAAAAGTGCTTATGTGTGCATCAGTGGTTACATTCCATTTTGTTATCGAATCTCGCTCTTGAAAATTAATATTAATAGCTTTTTTTTTTTCATCTAAAAGATTTTGTTTTTTGACTTTAAATTAGTTTACTATATTTCAAGTATGGGTCAAAGGAAGAATTATAGCAAAAAAAAAAAAAAAAAAAAAAA